GAAGACACTGCCAGAGCTTTGGTCTGCAAACAGAGGACTATTATTCGACACAACTCTATACAACTTCCTATGTTGGTATAAGGAAATAAGAAAAGCCATGCTGGATCAGACCAAAGGTCCATCTAGTCAAGCTGTTGCAGCCCTTCAATCATTTTCATCGCCTTTCTCTGCCTTTTCCAACCCAATAATGTCCTTTTTCAGGTAAGATGATCAGAAATGGACGCAATATTCCAAGTGCAGATGCACCCAACATTTGTATAAGAGAGATAATATTTTGGCAGTTCCTAATTTTGGCAGTTCTCTTCTGTTCCTAATTAAGCCTAGCATGGAGTTTGCCTTCTTCACAGCAGCTGAGCAGTGGGCTGACAATTTCATCAAGCTGCTCACCATCATCACAAGATCCCTTTCTTGGTCAGTCACTGCTAGCTCAGGTCTCATCAGTCTATACTTGAAGTCAGAATTTTTGCTCCAACATGCATTAATTTAGGTTTGCTTACAATGAACTTCATTTGCCCTTTTGATGCCCATTATTCCATTTTTGGAAAGATTCCTTGGGAGCTCTTCACAATCCCTTTTGTTTTTAATTACCCTAAATTGTTTGGTATCATCAGTAAACTTGGCCACTTCACAACTTACTTCAAATTCTATATTATTTATGAGTAGATTGAAAAGCATTGCTTCTAACATAGATCCCTGTGGGAGAAATTATGCACAGATCTCCATTGGAAGAGATAATCATTTATTCCCACCCTCTGTCTTCTGTTCTACAAACATGTTTAGAATTGTATACTTAGACCCTTTTACAATACTCTAATTAGGAAAGATTCATACCAGTTTATGCACAGTCAGTGCCTGATTCTAGTTCAAGAAGCATACCGTTACCATTATTTGCAAATTACCAGCATCCTAGATCTAAATTTGCTAAAACAGATCACATTCTGTCACAGGAGGTGACACAATCCAGTGCAGGATTGTGGAATAAACATTAGGATAACTGTGATCATCAACCTGAGGCATCCAAAGCTCACCAGGGGAGTTTTGGATCAGTCTCTTACGGTGTTTTAGACTCATGGAACAATTGGAATGTGAAGCTGCTTGGGCTATGCCACACACCACTGCAAAGGTTGTCACAGGATGCAGAACCACTTCAAGCCAAACTCTATTTCTGAGGAGTTCTCATGGTTGCATCTTAGTGGAAGGCCAAAGGGATAGTGCCACCTTATGCTCCCACAAAAGAAAATGCTAGCGTGTTTTAGTTTACTTGCAGTTACTTCCAGTACCTAGGCCTTAGAAGTGACATTTAAAACATTTATAAAAGGGAAAGAACAGCCCAAAAGAGACTAGCAGATAGTAGGTGGTTGGAGGTAAGTGGAGGCCTTCTATGAAAGCCTAAAGGGCTAGACTGGGACCTCTGGGATGCTCATTGCTGGTCCCTGGGCCTGAGGTTCCACATCCCTGGCTTTTCAGGTCTGGTCAAGGTGGTGTTGGTATCACCATTCTTCCATGAAATGGCAGAGGGACATTCAACATGGATGTTTTCTTGGTATAGACCAAGTCTGGCCCTATTGCCCCTAGTCTTTTTTCAGAGGTCTTTTGGACAGTTCAGTGAACACTTCACCCTACCTCACATCATAGCAGTTGCTAGAGACCAACGGTTAAGCGTTTTGTGAATATGTCAAGCTGACCTTGTTTCTGTTGGTACCAAAGTGCTCCTCAGAACTAGTTTCTACCTTTATTCTGCATGTATCTGGCTTCAAAAAATCCTAAATAATTCTGACTTATGATGCCTTGCTTGTGATTATCCCTCACTGACATCAATGAGATTTGCTTCTGAGCAGACATCCATAGTAAATAGCAAACATTTTAGTAAAGAGCAAATTTATTATTTGGGGTACATCCTACACACTTCAGCACATAATTAAAAGGATTTTGTAGGCAAAGGAATGTGTTCAAGTGTCCATAATTATTGGCCATCATGTATATTTTATTTGTCTGATAAGTAATTTTAGAGTGCAACCCTATGGCCTTGCCTATGGGAGCCCATAGGGCTCTTTGAAGACCAGGCAACCAAGTCCACTGATGGTGCTCAGGCTCCAACAGCCAAGCTCCAGCCCCAAACCTTTTGCAGCTGCTTCTCTGAGAGGGTAAAAGTGCCTTGGAGTGAGGGAAATGGGGCATGCGGTGGGGCTGGAAGGGGAGAAGGCTGGAGTTTTCTATCTAAGCCTGATGGTATCATGGCCTCTTTTTCTCCCCCTTCTCAGTCCTTTCTCTATGTGGCTGAAAATGGTTGTCCAGTTAAAATGCAAGGTGCAAGGCAGAGCAGAGATAAAATGCACAGGATGAGGTGGCAGGCCTTGTTCTAGATACTGGATAAACATAAACCTCTATCTTTAGAGTTTCTTTTCAAGTTAGATTTCATTTCAAAGTTCCTTTCAGAGACTGATAAAATCATAAGCCCAGTAATCTGAGGTTGACAAGGAATGTGAAATGTTTAGACTTCCATGAACAATAATACATATTACCAAATGGTCATAATACAGATCACCAAATTTTATACTGGCTTAGTAATAGCTTCTGTTCTACCAGTGGCCACATTTCAGGATAGTTTGTAGATATTGTGGCATCTCTTTAGCATGAGTATATCTGTGTGGTGTCCTTTGCTCATACAAAATGACTGATCACAGTACTTTATCATTCAGTTAAATACGAGTCAAGATCTTAGTTTCAAATTGAATGCACAAATTAGATAAGGCACATCTCTCTGATGTGTTCTCATCAAAATTCAGGCAAGAGATGCGGAGCACATTATGACACGTGTTCATTACTTGCAACTACTCCAATCTGGATACCACAAATGAAAGAGGAACATTTGGTGGATTTGGTCTTATTTTGTTTGGTGACTTTTCAGGTGTTCAGACTGAGGATGTCTATCAAGTGCTGCTTGGCTAATTACTTCTGATCACTTGTGTGCTGAGCATCTCTTGGCTTATTAGATCTAGCAGGATGGGGATGACCGGTGGCAAAAGTGTGGCAAATGTTGGGCTATGAGTACTGGAAGCTGGGGGACATTTTTTCCTGTTTAAATATGCACAGGATTGTGCCTTAAGAGTGGTAGTCCCAGACTCTTTAAAAAAGGTAGAACTTCAAACACTTCTGGAAAAAAATCTACCTTAACCACAGAAGATTTGAACTGCATGCTGATGACTGGACAAAGTGGTTGCAAAAGGTGCTTGAGTTGTCAGCCAACTCAAGGTACTTTTTGATGAAACGGATTTTCTGTTTCCTTTCAATTAAGATGTAAGCCTAGTACTGATATAGAAACTGCTCTGGTCACCCTGTGGCATGATCTTTGCCAGAAGACAGATGGTGGAGTGTGATCCTGTGGATTCTTTTGGAACTCTCAGTGTGCTTTGATACCACTAAATCAGTCTGAGCGCCCTTCCCGAATTTGATATTCTCCAGATATTTTAAATTTAAACTCCCATCAGGTCCAGCCTCCATCAGGAGTGTTCAACATGTTTGGAAAGCCTGAGTTAGAGAAATCTATTTTGGAGAGAAGGCAGGTGCCATTCTGAAAATAAGCCTCTGATTCAGAACTTTACAAAGAACTGAATGTGAAGTTTAGCAACCTTTAGCAGGATCAGTTTGAATTCCTGGCAATTACTTATTATGTCTGATATTAATGTGCTTAACTAATACAATGGAGCCTTTGCTAATTCACTGGCTGAAACCAAGCAAAGCCAGCATCAGAATTCAGCCCCAATGCCATATGATACCTTTTATTACCCTAGTGCAAAAGCTTGCATCACTGTGCGGTTTGCCCTTTGTTTTGTGAGGTGCAATTCGGAGCCTTTTGTGAACTGAATAGTGTTTTGGAGTTTCAGCTCCAAAGGTAACTGACAGCATTATACAAGGATGCTTCATGTTGGACACTTGCTCATCCTCTGTTCCTTCTTTCATTATCCTCTGCCTCTTGGAAGGCATAAACACTCTAAAACAGAGTTAACCTGGAATGTCACGTTTGTTCGTGCAAATCCCCTCCCTCCCATTCTATGTATAAAAGCCAACTGTAATGATTTTTTTCCTCAACACTATGAGTGGGATAGCATTGTTCAGTGCAGAGAGAGGAAAGAAGAGGCAATGAGCAGGCCACATAGCACACAGCTCCATCTTCCCCCTTGCTGCCACCTCCCAGCACCTGTATCCTGAGGCAGCTACCTCAGGTTGTCTAATGGTAGATCCAGCCCTGTCTTCAGATATACATAGTAGGCAGCTGCATGTGACTGATAAGCAGAGCTATATAAGTAGCCATCCAGATCACTGGGAGACTTGCATCCCAATCTTAGGCATGTTTACTCATAAGCAAATCACAGGGAGTGTGCAGAGAGATTCAGTCTTGCATTGCCCATTGAAAGAAGCTGCACACACAAGCTAATGACAGAAACCAGGATTAGCTGCAAATACACAAGCTATCCCCAGAATTCGAGGAAAGTCTGTTCATATCTGGCCTGCTGTGGATATCAGCAAGATGCCCTTAGCTGCTCTGGTCTGAATTGTTCCCATTAAAATAAAAACAGCAGCAACTGGCCTTTGGGCACAACAGACATCAGTGACTGGTGCTCAACTGTGTTTCTGGGTGTGTATTTATCCATCATGCACCATGAATGCATGGACTCTGAATGTGTGCAGAATGTGTTTCATCAGGCAGATGTTGTAAGTTTTTAATCCCCAGAAAGTCTCATGTGGATTAAATCTCAAATCTCTAAACATTATTCTTAATTGCTGCAGTAAGTAGTACAGGCCTGTGGTAAAAAGGGCTCACTGTTTAAAGAAAGCAATTTATAAATGTTTGAAATTCTGCCTTAGTTAAAGCTCAGATATTCATTTGGTTTCCTTATTGATTTTCCCCTTCTTTGCATTCTGAAAAATAACAGCCCCCAAGCAATCACCAAGCGCAAAGAGCCTCAAAGCTGACATGCTTGTTTCCCCATTCTACATACCTGTAACCCTTCAATTGCCAGTTTGAGGATGGAAGGTGTTAGTTTGGAAGCTTGCTTGAAGGAAAAATTACTCCAGTCTATAATTAGAATGAAGCCATTTATCTGAAGCTCTTGATCTTCAATGAGAACTTCTAAGGACAACAGAATAGCCCGTAAAATGTCTATGAAAGAATTCCTAGGAGAGAATAAAAGAGAGAGAGAGATCATTGTAGTTATTGGCAAACCTTCAGAAATGCAAAGAATCCTGTGGATATTTGTCCTTTGAAAGAAGAGGTTGGAGGTGCCACAACATTCTCTGGCTCTAACAAGTGAATGCAGCCACTTTTGAGAATTAGAAATTGAGATAAACTGATCCATCTGCTTCATTTTCCTGAGCCTTGCAAAGTTATATGATGCATTTTAAAGAATTAATTTTTATTTCAGTTTCACAACAACCATGATTATTGCACAGTCTTTGGATGTCTCCAGAGAGAAAAGGGAGTTCTAGAAATAATACAAGTCATTGTGCAACTATTTTGCAGCTATTCTCTCCTTTCTTCATCAACAAATGAAAAAAGATGGAATGTGCAGCTCAAAAGCATGAGAGGATTACAATTATGAGATGATGATTTCTGGGTGCCCAAAATTTCTTGAATGAAGTAGGGTGATGGTGCTGTAAAAACACCCTCTGAAAACATCCTTCATGAGAAAAAAGTGTTTATTTCTGTCAGAGCCCCAGAGCCATATGGCTGACAAGCCCCCAGTCCATGGTAAAAACAAGGGTGGTCCACTTGCAGCCCTTGTCCAAAACAGGGTTCTTTTGGACAGAGGCAATGACAGTGCCTAGCTCTGCCATATTCAGAAGTTCTAATGTTTAATCGTATTAGATTTGGCTGTGGCTATACAGTCAGAAGAAAAAGGCAATCAACACATGCTCTGTGGCATTTTTTTCTTATGACACAGGTTAAAAGACTCATGTGCTGCTGCTGAGAACAGACTCTTACAAATTAAGCTGGACATTTGGGAACTCAGTACTTGCTTTGACCATGGTTTGTATTCACATGCTTTAAGATACATCCTTAGCTGGAAAGTGCAAGGAGTCCTGTAACTCTTGTTCTTCAAAAACCAGCAACAAAGGCTAAAGAATTTCAGTAAACCTTGAGGAAAAAACACTCGAAAAATTCTGTGGGTGCATCAAATGCAGCTTTTAAGGTCCTGACATGTGTTAGTAGATAATGATCTCATATGGTAGTTTCTTATAGGAAGGTCAAGTGGCTTGTAAAACTTATCATTTCAAAGGGATTACATTCACCAGCAATTCAGAAAAAGAACCAACAAGCTAAACGAATAGTGATGAAGTCATCAAACCTTTCTTCCCACCTATGGAAGGTATCACCAAAAGCAATTAACTAATCTATCCCATTCCTTTCCCTTCCTAACAGACCTTCACCTGCCTGATTTCATGACCATGAAAATGTATTAAGTGTAGGTCTGTATTGGATATCCCCTAAGTTCAATGTCCAAGTAGTGAGCAGAATATTTGATGCAGCTGAACAAGTAACTGACAGCCCTCCCCCCCCCGCATGCGCCCCACACACGCATTAAAAGATGTGCATTCTTTCAATGCGTTTGTGTCAAGAGATCTGTGTTCTAGTCCCCCATCAGCCACAAAGCACACTGGGAGACTTTGCGCTGGTCATGAACTCACAGCCTCACCTAGCTCACAGGGCTGTTGTTGTGAGGATAACTTGGAGAGGAGGAAAACTGTGTAAGCTGCCCTTGCAAGATTTCTTTGTAAGGGGAAGAAAGATGGGATATACATACAATGTAATTAATAAGAAGAACATTATTCTCCTGGATAAACAAAACTTAGCCTGCATTAAAATAGTGAGCTTCAGCCACCATTTGATTTCTCTAGTTTCCAGTTTATTTAGCTGAAGCCATTTTACTGTGTCCTCTGTCAGATGAAATATCAAACTGTTTTGTAACTGGGACAATGTAAATTTGTCTATTCAGCATTATATACAAGAAAGAATATAAATAATAACCTCTGGTAATCTTTGATCTACGTTAGAGGGAAAAAACAACTCAATTGCAGCAATTTATTGCCTGTACAGTTTAGGATAGCTCAGCGTCTTGATGACTTCCCAAATACTGAAAGCATTTCTGAACTAATATATGATCAGCTTGGGCTCTGTGTTTGCTGAACATAGGCTTCATGTGCAATAAGACCAAAGGGCTATGGGACCCTGATGTGGTTTCTAGTTCCCATATTGTAAATCAAGAATGTTGAACTCCTTTCAGCCCGAAGGCCGAATTCCATCTTGGGGAAGCTCTTAGGAGCTGCATTCCGGTGGTGAGTGGGAACAAAGGTAAAGGAGTGGTGCTTAAGGTTAAAAAGAATGGGGCAAAGCCAAAAATTCCAGCATATTTTAGCACAGAGCTTTTATTGCCAGTGACTAAGCCCTTAGAAGAGTGAAGGGGAAACTGGCCTAAAGCTGAAAAAAGGCCTGTGGTTAGGAGAAAGCTCTAGTACCATGTCAAGAGTACATGGCCTTCCAGGGGACTCCTCAGGGTCAGACCGAGACCTTCAGCGGGCTGCATGTAGCTTGAAGTTCTGTATCCTTATTGTGAAGCATACACATACTGCTGCTGCCCATCTTCTCAATCAAGCTGATTGTGCAGCAGCTTAGGAGTTGTCAGGAGCTGGTACTCTGCTTATTCATTTCAAACTTCCAAAACAATAGACAGCTTTAAGAAAATAACTTTGCAGGCAGTTCACAACCATCAGGCTGCACTCACTACAAGACTACTATCTAAGCATAAACAGAGTGATTTGTTAAACCTTTTCAATAATGATGGGCTTCACCCCTCAGGGTTGGTCTTTTATTGTGATACTGCATGATGCGGTCACGGAGTAGACTAGTCAAGGGATTGCCTTCATCCTCTTCTTTGTCCTCTCTCTTCTCTTCCAAGCCCTGTCTGTTCCCAAGGACTGTCTGAGCACCTGGAAACAATAACCTTGAGACAATTTCTCCCTACTTTCCCCTCTCAACTCCCACCCTCCCCATTTCCCAGTCATCACCATCCACATCCAAAGAGTTGATGCAACCCTGACCTTGGGAAGCAGGCCAATAACTGCCTAGTCCATTCCAGCAGGAGTGTTGCCAGAGCACAGGGTGTCACCAAGGGTGGGGGAGCTAACCCAAGCATTCTCCCTGTGCCTTCATGTAATTTATTATGAATGACTGAAGAAGGCATATCTCACCCTTTTTGATTCATGTCTTGTAGAACTATCTTACAAAGGCTGTATCTGTCAGAGGCTACTTTGAATGTATTAGCAGGCTAAACTTTCAGATGCCAATGGTTGTATTTATCTTGGCTGCATCTCAGTTTATTATATCAAGGCATAAAGGCGAGCAACCACAAATTAATTCTAAGTCCAAGAGTCCATGTGATGTGGGGACTAGATCTAGGGAGGTCCAGATTCAAATCCTTAATTATGAAGCTCACTGTCACTCTCATACCAGCTTCAAAGAGCTGCTGACAAATGAGGTATTCTCACATATCCTGCCTGAAGCAACTTGTCTGAAGATATGCAGATAGTTTAACACACTTTAAAAAGCATAAAGCTACTCACCCACTATCTTCCACCCACTCCAGCTCTAATCAATAATCTTTTCAATAAGGGGCTATGTAGGTGAATTGTCCAGCCCTTTGAATTGTCAAGCCATTTTCAAAGATAGCATTATGGCTGTCTGGCAGCCAAATCTTTTGTCAGACAAATTGCTCATTCGTGACTCCAGTTACTAGCAGCTCTTTACTGGGAACCAACTGTTAGGAAATAGTTGGGAATTTTTCTTGAATGTGCTGAATAAGAGAGACCACCAGAACCTTGAAGGTGACAGGTCTTTCCACTTCCCAGCAAAAGGACTGGGTGAATGTATGTGAAGCTACAAAAGGAGCAGTTTGTAATTCAGAGAGGAAGACACAAAAGAGAGGTAGTAATGTTAGTATGTTGCAGTAAAGACAACAAACCATCTTGTGGCACTTCAAAGACAAAAACATTCATTCTGCCCTAAGCTTTTCTGTACGTTGTCTGCTTCATCAGAGAGAGAAAGAAAAAGCACACTCTAATGTGGGTGCCAACCTGCTTCCTGTTTGCCTCCACTTCATCCTGCTTGTACAGATGTAACATCAGTGCTGTAAGGCTTCAGTGCTCTCTTGAGAAAACAAAAACCTAGGTAAGCAGTCAGGAGGATAGTAGGGATCTTGTAAAAATACAATAGCTTAAATGGGAACCAAAAGTATCAAGTCAATGTAACCTTATTACAACTTTCCTTCCACGAGTTGTGTTTTCTGTTATTGGTCTCCTGGGAGGTAAACAGAAGTAATCAAAATCAACTTCTAACAACCACAAATGTCTTTAATAATTTATCCCCCTACCATTATACTATAAATGAATAACGCCTCATATTATTGACAGGGAAACAAAGCCCTGAGTTTGTTCTGCAAAAGAAACAAAAGAAGAATGCTGATTCTTCTGAAATGTGATGAACCAAGGTTATTTAGACTAAGAGTCAGAGTGCTAAAGATTTCAGTTTGGGTTTGAAGTATGGGAGGTTTTAAGTATGGGACATTGAGAGAGAGAGAGGGAGAGAAAGCGTCACTGCACATGGTGCTTACACACTGTAAGGGTACAGATTCTTGTCCTGCAAAGCTTACAATCTATATTATCACATGAGGGAAACAGGGCATGGGGGTGGGGGGACACAGACAGGTGCAAAGAGGAAAGCAACATGCAGTTGCTTCTGTTGCATATACCTTTCTTATTTGCAGCCTGAATTATAGCAGCACATGCTTCCTGATACCACTGAAGAATACAAGCTCTGCAGCCTCATCCCTTTCTGCTTCTATTTGACCCTTTATGGATCATGTTTAGAACAATCAGTCTGAGGATGTTATTACACCCTGCCATGTTGCTTAAATCCAAAAGGGCCACTTGCAACAAAAATTACCCAGGTCTCCGGGTACTCTCTTTATCAAGTCCAGAGTGTGCCCTTGTTGCACAGCTAATAAAGACAAATCTAGCAGTTACCTGCTAAGTCTTTGCTGTCTTATTCTCTTCATCAGAAGAGCCCTAGTGAATTGACCCAAAAGCCAATGTTGTCCAGCATCCTATTGCACACAGTGGTC